CCCGAGTGAGTAGGAACACCCCCCCCCAAAAAAAATCAACCTCTCACCTAGGCAATCAACCCCCCCTCAGCCACCCTCCACGGCGCACCCACCGGCCTAGCAGTCATAGTCGGGGTCCCCTCCTCCATCTCCACATCCTCCTCCCCCACCATGACCCTCCCTTTCCCTTGGTAGGTATAATGATTGTTTTCCTCCTGCTCCTCCACAGAAGTAAAAGAACTGCTATCGCTCATCTCCACATCCTGTCCATTCCCGCCCCCAGCCGAGCTGAACGATCCTCTCAAACTCGAAGAATACCCGATTGTATGCTCAAACACGCTCTCTTGGGTGGACGAGGCGATGGATTCCACGCTGGGAGTGGGGGGCTCGATCGCCATTGCGGAGGATAGTTGATGATGGGCAGTTGTTTGGATGGAGAGGTAGGGTTGTTGTTGTTGCTGGTGAGGCATGGAAATATCCGCGTCGGAGGAATACCCCGAGTACCCGGATGAGTTGGACCAAGAACCCGGGCTTGAATGTGGGATGGGCAGCAATGAAGAAGGGATGGGGGTTGGCTCCCTCTCCTCTCGGGTCTGCTGTTGCTCTTGTTGTTGTTGTTGTTGTTGTTGTTCTTGTTGTTGTTGTTTTGTGATAGCAGGAGGAGCAACCGCCACCCCCTTTCCGTTCGTGCCGACTGTTGATTTTGATTGTCTCCCCCTTGGTCTTGGAGCCGGGACCGCAATCACAGGGACGGTAGTCGAGGCAGCCAGAGGGTGCTTTTTCCCTGTTGTTGGGATCGCCAGCGTTGGTACCGCTGTTGCTGGGGTGGTTGATGAAGAAGAAGGGAGACTCTCCTCCCCGTCTTCGTCCTGTCCAATCGTCCAGACCCACCTCCTCTTCTTCTCCCTCCTTTTCCCGCCCTTTTTCCTGATGCCGCCTGTGGAAGTAGGCGACAAAAGCTGACGAGGAGGAAGTAGTGGGTGTGCTGGCCCTCATGTCGGCCATGCGACGTCGCATTTCCTCAAACGGACCCGGTGTTTGCCCCCCGTCGCGGGTCAGGTTGGAGTAAGCCATGGTTTGGTCCAAGACTGTGGAGTTACTGTCAAGGTCGCCTTCGTCAGAGGTGACGGAGGGGCTGACGGGGGTGGTGTCGTCGTCGGCTACTAGGAGATCAATATGTGATCGGGTGTATTTGTGGGTTGTTATCGTTTGTTCCAGGGGTGAGTTATACGCCACGCGCCTGGCGGCTCTTTCTTGGAGGCGGAGGGAGGTCCGCCTGGGGGAAATGTTCTGCCCTGTGGAGGGGGACAGGTTGGTGGTCAATGGTGGCAAGGGGGAGTTGCGGAGGATGGACCGTAGAGACCGGGGGTGGGTGTAGGGGAGCTTGGGGGTCATGTTGGCTGGCAAGGTGTTGGTTCTTCTTTTGAGGGATTGTGATGGCAATGATGGAGCTGGAGCGGTGCTCGCTTGTTGAGACTGATTTTGATGCCGTGATGGGAGACCGGGCTTATTAGTGCTGTCAAAGGTAAAGACACGAGCGTTTGCGTCCTGGGCTTGGGCGGATAATGGGGGGGTGGCGGTCATGGCGCTGGGGAATTGGACCTCGCGGTTGATGGCGATGGCGGGGGATAGTGGTTGCGCAGTGAGAGGTGTGTCGAGATATGGACCTAAATAGGGGGTGTGCCTGGCTTTGGCGGTTGCTGCCGTTGCTGTTGCTGGCGCGGCATCTTGAGTTTGGGTTTGGAGCCGCAGTATTGGCCTACCGCTCAGCAGAGCCGTTGGCGGGTTTTCTTGAATCGGCGTTGAGCGGTCGACAGCGGTAGCGTAGACGTTTGACAGTGTGTTGAAGGCCGTGGGCGATTTCATGTCTACCGCTGCCGCCACCCTCCTCGATGTCCGTACACTGGGGCCATTGGCGATGGCTGTGATTTGAAGAGAGAGGCGTGGTCTCTTTGGTGGGCTCTGTGGTGATGTCGCCATCTTTCCTTCCTCTAGACAATCCCGAATTCCAAGCCAGCTGGGAAAGGGACGGCAGATCTGATATCAAAGCGCACACGGTAGTTGTGTGGGTGAGCCAGAGATCCGGGATCTCAGTCGCGGACGGGAGATGGGCGGCTATATAGTATAGAGTACACTAAACAGTCATCGAGTGCGAGAGAGAGAGAGAGAGAGGGGGGAAGCGCCAGACCGGGGGTGTTCGGGACTAATGCGCATGCGGCATTAGGGCACAAGTATAGACGCGATCAGCTCCTCTTCTCTGGCCGTGTGTGTCCCTCAACCTGGGCTGCTAGTGGTTGGCACACCAGATGCATATTGCAGGCGCAAGCGCCCAACGACCCAATCAGAGCGGCCGACACCTCATGCAGAGCGCATGCAGGCCAAGTCACATCGCGTCTATTCAAGAACCAGATTCTCACTCTCTGTCTCTCTTTCTCTTTTTCTCCTCTCTTTTTAGAAGCGTCCCCCTGGGGATACGGTGAGTCCTGATTCTTGTTGTTAGTTAGCTATTCCTTCAGGATCCCACCGCTTCGTACACTACTCTTCTAGAATGTTTTCCCCGTCATCACAGCCCCAAAGATGTTTGCCTATTGAAATTAGTACCAATCCTTTCCGAGGCGAGGCTTGGGCTGTCCTCCGTCCGTCTATCCCCCAAATAATCACCAGGGTCTCCCGCATTATGACCGGGCGGGCCATCGGATCTCGTGCTGGGCTGGGCTGGGCTGGCTGCCTTTCTCCAGACCGACTGCGTAAAGTGGTGTGTACCGGAGGAAAGTACGTAAGCATGGAGGTACCGTACAACGAAATCTGTCAGCCAGCTGTGTCACACAGATCTAGACGAGAAAGAACCAAGTTTGACGCCGTCCACGTGCTATGCCCAAAATAAACCCTTTCCCCCCTCCAACGCACTCGATTGATCTTCCGAGCCGGGCCCTTGCCAACTGAGGCGAACGGGACGCCCGGTTGGATTCGGTTTCTGCAAAAAAAAGAATGTTTCTTAAAGTCGGTCGGATAGCAAACATTCCGTTCCCTTTTGTCCAGGATTCTTCTTTTTCCTTCAGTTCCTTTAAAAGAAGCTTTAAGCTCTTGCGCTTTTTGTGGAGCCGATTCCCCACCTTCCGTCTGGTCTGAGCGGTGTCCGCCTATTCTCCAGATTCCAGGTGTGCACGGACGTGTTGGGGTGGACAGCAGGGCAAGCCCAGTACTGAAGAGGGAAAGCGCGGGGGATTAAAATAGAACGACCCCAGAAGCTGAGCTACACTACGCTAGCCATCCTGTCCCAGCATGTCGGTTCAGGGAATATTGAAACTACCAAGACGATAAACCCCTCGATTGATGATCCTCGAGGATGCCGAAAATGTAAACAAAACGAAACAGTAAGAAACAACACACACATCATGGACATGGACATGGACAACCCGGACTTCAAGAGGAAGGCGCCACGCCGAAAAGGAGACGACCGGGTCATCCTGCATTTTGTAAGTGGCCATTTTATTCTCCGTCCCCTACAGTGCTGTCTTTTCTCGTCCTTCCCGTTTTGGTGGATGTCTAAACCTTACCTCTATATCAAAATGGTTACTTTTTTCGGAACCTCAGCTAACACCTTCACCCGCACCCTATCCAGGATCTAGATTGCTTCTACGCACAGGCATGTAAATTTCTGGAATCCTCTTATTATTCAATATCCTACCGCGTCGTCATACATAATAATAGACATTTACCTTACTCATATTTCATTCCGATCCGTCCCCTTTGCTTATTCTTGAGCCAGCCCATTAACACAGTGTGCAAAAAACACAGTGCATCGAAAACGCCAACCCCCACCTCAAGTCTGTACCCCTCGGCATCAAGCAAAAGTCCATCCTTGCCACGTGCAACTACGTCGCGAGAAAGCACGGGGTGAAGAAGCTGATGGGGATCCAGGAGGCCAAGAGGCTGTGTCCCGACCTTGTCCTGGCAGACGGGGAGGACCTGTCACCCTTCAGGGATGTCTCCAAGCAGATTTACTCCCTGCTAAAGTCCTATTCTTGGAACGGGAGGGTGGAGAGGTTGGGGTTGGATGAGGTTTTCTTGGATGTGACTGATGTCGTGGCTTATAACCTGGGGTTGGTGAATCATCACTGCTTGGAGGAGTCGTGGTTTTGTCTGTCGAGGGAGGATCCGGAAAGGGGGTTTGCGTTTGATGCCCGGGAGGTGGAGGGGTGTGTCTGGCCTCCAGATTTTGTTTCTGACCGCGAAAATGAGGGCACGGATAGCTTGAGGCTGAGGCTCCTCTTCGGCAGCCACCTCGCCTTTTACCTCCGCCAGCAGATGGAAGGTCTGGGGTATACTTCTGCTTGTGGCATCTCCACCAACAAGCTCCTCGCCAAGCTGGCTGGCGATAGAAACAAGCCACGCAACCAGACCACCCTCCTCTCCTCCCACAGTCCCCTCCCATTCCTCGACCCATTACCTCTTCGGAAAATCCCCGGCATTGGCGGCAAAACCATCACCGCCATGAAAAGCTTACTCAAAACCGACGACGACGACGACGGCCTGACCGTTCACAACGCCCGAACCAACCCGGCCGTCTCCCCTTTCGCTCTTGAACGGCTGTTGGCCGGTAGCGGTAGTGGTGGGGAGAAGGGTATAGGCCAGAAAGTCTGGCTTTTGCTCCACGGAATTGACGGTTCAGAGGTCAAGCCGACGATGGATGTGCCGAGGCAGATAGGCATTGAGGATACCTATCGCGGTTTGACGCAGCTGTCGCAGGTCAGGGCGGGTTTGGTTCAGATTACTACCTCTCTGCTGCGGCGGATGCATGTTGATTTGTTGGATGATTTTGATGCGGTCACCCCACCTATATCACCAGCACCAACTAGTGTGGGAAAGGGTAGGTGGCTGGCACAGCCAAAGACGCTGAGGTTGACAACCCGGCCGTATTATCCGCCGTCGGAGTGGGATAAGTTTGAGTATAACCACGGTCGGGTATCCAAATCGGTTGCGTTGCCTAGGTTCGTTTTTGATCTCAACATTGAGCCAGAAAGTATTGCGGAGAGGTTGGTTGAGGGGACGTTGATGCCGTTGTTTCACAGTTTGAATCCGGACAAGAGTAAACTCTGCATCGGGCTGCTCAACGTATGTGTCACCAACATGGATAGGGCGAAGGAAAGCAGCCGGGGAGGGGATATCATGGCTGCATTTCAGAGGCAGAGGGAGGTGGAGGAGATTAGGGGCGTTGCTTTTGCTGATGAACCCCCAGATGGGGAGGAAAAGGCCGAAGATACCAGTGACGACACCGAGGTGGAATGGGTCGAGGAGGAAGATGAGCAGGATGGCGTGAGGTGTCGGCTTTGTGGCTGTGTCATTCCGGTTTTTGCGGTGGAGGCTCATGGGCGGTGGCATGAGCTGGATGAGGGTTGGGTTGAGTCGCAGGGTGGGTAAAGGTAACAACAGAGTAGATCTACATTGTAGGGGTATATACTATGGCTCTGCCAATTTTTAGGCAAGCGGTGAGGTCGGTGAGGCGAGGATGAGAATAGAATTGTTGGGGTAAGGGCATTGCGCCGCTGGGTAAGGGGTGGTGTATCTTGGGATATATTCGCTCCGCTCTTACGACTGTGGAATGGGTCAAGAACTAGGGTTCAGTTCAACCATGGCATACCTCTACCCTTGAACAACCATGGCACCATGATGGTGTTGGTGTGGATGCCCAGCCCACAGCTCCCTTTACTCGTCAAGAGTAATATATTGCTATGACCAGTCTTGAACATAGGTATCCTGTCGTACACACTTAGGTATCGTCTATCTTATGCCACGCCACGCCTCGCCCTCACCAGACAGTAATCATACACATTACTTTTTTGTGCCCCCCCCCTCCCCTAGTTTACACACCTCAATGATTCAACACCCCAGCCAACAACCCCCCCAGCACCCCCCTCACCCTCCCCCGATCCTCCAGCACACAAGTAAAAACAACCCCCGTGCTCCCCGCAAACACCACCCGCTCCATCCACTCCTTTGTCTTTTCGTACTTCCTCGGCAGCAACGTAGCCATCGCCCTCGGAGCAACAAACAACCCCCCATCCTTCCTCCTCCCCACCTTCTCAATCAAAATGCTCCACCCGCAAAGCACACACCCCGTGCCCACACAAACCCCCCCATCAATCATATTCCTTTCCTTAATCCCCTTCCCAATAATATGCGGCCCAATCCTCGTCCGGGCTAAGCACACTCCATAATAAAAAAGTGTGATAAACGTCCCCAAAAAGGTCGACGTCCTAGCAGCTGACAGAACCGCCCGTCTAAACGCCTTTTTGCTTGGGTTCCTCAAGGCGAGAAGCAGGGACAGCGGCAAGTAAGTCGTCATAGCCCACTTGAACGACCTGACAAAGCGGGAGAGGGCATGGTATTCACAGCTCGGTCCACAGCCCATGTGAACAATCTCACATGGAAAAGGGATCGACCTGGCCGGATCACCCCACACTTCTGGCAGGCTGTAGTCTTTACACATCGACCCGAGCAACTCCGCTTGCCCCGTCTCCTCGCCGTAGCGGAGGGTGCCGTCGTGGCAACGCTTCAGGGCTTGGATCAGGCGGCTGTCTACCGCGGCGGCGGAGTCGATCCATTTGTTGTAGGCGCGGGGGAGGGAGGAGGGGTAGTAGAACCAAGACCACATTACCATTCCGGAAGAAAGGGCAAAGATGGCTGGGTCGGTGACGTTGGAGATGAGAGATTCGAGGCGGGTCCATTTATTGGATGCCTGGCGGCGCTGGCGGTGGAGGTTCCATGCTGTGCCGATTACCACGTCGATGGCGCGGGTGAGGGCGAAGAGGGTGAGGTCGAGGGTGCGGCCGGCGAGGGGGGTTTGGGTTGTGGTGCCGTCCAGGTTGGTGGTGGTGGTGGTGAAGGAGGAGGTGGGTTTGGATTGGAGGATGGCGAGGGAGAGGTAGGCTGAGGTGAAGGAGGCGATGAACCTTGCTAGCCTGTGTGTGATGTGTGTAAGTGGGAGTACTAGCTATGACGAGCAACGGATAGTGATAAAAGTGAACTTGCCTTCTTTTGGCAATGTCAGGTAGGTTTTTGGCGAGACGGTCAAATGCCGCTTTCAATGGCACCTAATGTGTTGACACCGGATCATTAGCTACGCTGGTGGTTGTATGAGAGGCTAGTTAGGTCGAGGCAAGGTAACATCTCCGAAATGTCTATGCATGTCTTGGAGAAAAAGGTGTGGTCACAATTCGAGGTGAGTGCAGGTTGCATATATGTTACACACCTCAAGCAACGTGCTTCCGCCTGCCAGCAGCGCACAGAATGTGGGGAACCTGTGCCAATCAAAACCCCCCTTGAGTGTGCGTATGAGCGACGCAAGGAATGTGTCGGTTGACTGCTGTTTTGTTGATGTTGATGATGCCTCTTGTTTTGGTGTGTCGTAGTGTTTCTTGAACAGGCGCGTCAGGTGCTGAATTAGCAGCGAGGCCAGTCTCGGTGCTACCGTACTTGCATAGCCCAAGAGGTAAGCTCGCACCAGTGGCCGGAGAATAGGGGGAATGCCGGCATCCCATCCTCTCCTATGCTTCCCTGGGGGTATGGATTGGATCAGTTGCGCCGCTGAGGATGGTGATGCCGCAGAAATAAGTGACGGAGACGGAGCTGCAGCGGGCGAAGCCGGCAGAGAGGATTTTGCTGGTGGTGCCATCCAGACGGCCGGTGTTTGGTGACTTTGGAAGATGAGATATCCGACACGGTACAGTGACACGCTGACACCGAATATGGCCGGACTCGGTCTTACAACCACAGCGGCGGCAGTTTCAACCAAATGAAGGGCTCAAAGAACACAAGAAACTCGAGCTGAATAACCCCCCCTCCAAAAAAGTGATATTCAATGGCAAGATGTGGTAATACAGAAAGCTAATTTTTAATATTTTTTGCACATGAAGAACGTGTTTGAGCGTTGATGTAACGCTGGCAACCCGCCCTGAGGTCGAGCGTGTTCCCGTGAGCCTCGGTCGGTTGGCCGAACCCTACGAATACCGGTCACCACACGACCCCGCGGACGGACATGGCGGAACAGAGCGGGACGCAAAACGCTGACAACGGACGAGACTGCTCGGAAGGGTCTGTCAAAAATATGATTTGGTTCGGGATTCGAGCATCGCCCTGATCCCTGTCGGCAGATCTCGCTGTGAAGGCATGACGCTGACCTGCAGCGTGATCTCGGCCCTGTGACCGTTTTGGGGGGGTGGCCTTGATGACAGGATTGAGCGCCCAGACGAGCTAGAGCAATGCTTCTCGAACGTTGCGTCTGAATCTCTGGAAAATAAGGACGGCAGAGATATCAACAAAGTACTGTACACTCTGAAGGATGTGTACGAGGTAATCTCTATCCCAGTTCTTGAAGATGGTTTGCAGAATAAGGTACAAGGGTTGAATGTGCGGTCAGCGAACCGGTTGGAAGGGCTGCCAAGATGCGGAGGAGAACACTTCTGGAAACCATCGAGATCTACACTACTCTGTACCGATGTCTGAACTCGATGATAATCAGGCACGAATCCCGGAGCTACCAGCAGGGCGAGATGAGGACGGGCAATGCATTTGCTCAGCTCGGACACCATGCTACCCACCCAAGAGGTGAATTTGGCCGTTGGGAATGCGACTCCAGTCCGGGTGACCTCTGGTAACTGGTGACTGGTCTGATGGAGCATCTTGTTGTTCAGAAAATCTGAGAAAAACGTTGCTGCCATCCAGCCAAGCCAAGACTCTGGTGGTGAGCGTTAAGAAAAAAGACATGTGATTCTCTGTTTAAAGCATATGCTGTTTAATTGCGAATGCAAGTCATGCACAATTCACATAGCAGATGAGACCTTGCCGGAAAAGGGAGCCCCGCAGCGGCCTCACTCCGGAAGGGGCTTAGCGCCATGAATCAAGCAAGCGATGCAGCACCCCGCCTGTCTTGGGATTCCCGAGGCTCCTTTTTCAAGATTGAACTCCTGCACTATCTCCTCATCCCACGACACCCATCACACACACATTCTTGGTTGGTGGCAGCATCACTTTGCCAACTACTTCCAGGTACTTGGTAAAAGGCTGAACTACTAGGTAACCCCAAATCAAATCCATCACACATAAGCACCTCGTCAGGTTTCCTTTTCCCGTCTTCCGTTTCCTGTGTTGAAAGTCTTCTTGTCAGCCTTGTAGTTGATTGCCTGGAAGTTCTGAATTTATCATCGTTCGTTTTCTTTCCTTTCAACAAAAGTTATTGCTTGGTTGCCCGTCTTTTACCACTTACTTCTCCCCTTGACCTCGACCTCGACCTCGACCTCGGCCTCGACCTCGACTTCAACCTCGACCTCGACGTCAACCTCGACCTCTCCCCTGATCACCCCCCTGTCCAGTCATCCCCGTCAGGACCCCAGCCCGTCGACGGGAACAGAGGCCCCCCCCCCCCCCCCGGTTCTTTCCCCCGCACAACGCTAGCGCCAGAGAGGTCTTCTGTGAAACTGGAGAAATACTTCCCTGCAGCTCTCCGTCTCCCTGTTTGCACGTCCTGAAGAACCCAGCTGGCCCTCTTATTTTTTTGCATGTGCCTCTTTCTTTTGGCTCCCCACTCGAACCACCACCATCACCACGAGCATTCTACTATCACGGCCGTCATCGGTGTCATCCGCCCACATTTCTAGCTCAACATTGCTACAGTGGTATTGCTATACTGCCTACGACGTGACGATTGCCCCTTTGCCACGGCTATACGCGAGCGACGTGTCTCGTTTACATTCCAAGCTCCCAACAGCTAGCTATCCATCATCATCACCTCCACAGCTCAACGCCACTTCACAACGGTTGATGGCAGCTTGCACCGAGACAGCAGTGCACAATACACAAGCTTCGAGGTCTTGACGCACACAGTCCGTTTTGCCTGACAGCTGGCGGATATGCTCCTGGCCCGGCGCCCGCACACGATGGGACCGACGCACCCCCCCGGCGGTCTTCTATTCGGCTGTAGGTGTTCAAGGAGCAAAAAAGAGTTGGATCATAGAATACTAATAGCCTGTTTCCAGACGACATTAACAATCCGAACGGAGATCCCACACTAGACAATCCAGACCTGTTCGCCAATCCCGGTGGCCTCGAAATCTCGGGCCAGAGTCTTCTCGGTGAAGATGGCACCGATTATCTGCAATCATTCTTTGGAGTATTCCAGAGCGACAATCCTGGAACATCATGGGGTGAGGGTTTAGGTCTGCACTCGGAGCAATGGTCAGACGAACTGCTTGTCGGTCATGAGTTGAACTTTGGAGTGAACACCGACAACATGCTTTATCAGGAGCCCATGCAACAGTACAACTCGGGCCTTCCAATCCGTCCTCATTATGCATCTCACGGCAGCAACAACTTTGCTCCCACCCCGATGGACCAGCCATCGGCCGATGTCTTGAGTGCCGCAACAGCTCTGCTCCCGGCATCTGAGCAGCAGTCCCCCCGTACCAACTTGCAGTTCATGCCCTCTCACGGGATACCAATGCCCTTGCACCAAGATGCCAACAGCTTCAACATTTTCGCTTCAAATGCTGGGCCATCCCATTCTCAACAAGCGAGACCATCACGAACGGTGGAGGTCCTGTTTGGATCCGATCCAGGTTTCAGCAACGCCCAACATTTCGTTCCGAGGCACGAGAGAGAATCAACAGAACACATCGCCGCGAAGCAGCTGGCAACTTTGAGCTGCCTGCAACGAAACCACAGCAATGCTCCCACACGAGCACCCAGTCCTGAGCCGTGGGCAGCATCTCGCCCTCCACAAACCACAACGAACGGGGTAATATCACCCCTAAAACTGAAGACGTCCGACCTTTCACCAAATCCACCACAAAGCGACGGCTCATCGAGCGCCCTGAAAAAGCGCAGAAGAAGCGACAAGTCGACGGATTCGGACGACGAAGACGAGGAGCAAGAACGCTCCGTTATCCAAGAGACTCCGGTATCTTTTCCGTCACCACTTAGGTCCGCCTTGTCGCCGCCAACCGCCAAGAGGCGAAAGCCATCTATCGCCGCCTCTGCCGTAGAAGACGGCGCCACTCCTCCAGCCAACGGGAAACGGAAAAAGTCAACAGCAGCCAAGCCGCCTCGAGAGAACCTGTCAGAGGCACAGAAGCGGGAGAATCACATCAAGAGCGAACAGAAGCGCCGCAACATTATCAAGGATGGCTTTGCAAAGCTCAACCAAATCGTGCCGACAGTCATCAACCAGAATCTTAGCAAGGCTGGCGTCCTCATCGCGACACACGTGTGGATTGACCAGTTGGTGAAGGAGAACAAGGAGCTGGAAAAGTTGCTGGCTAGCGCTGGAGAAAAGTCCTAGGACGACTTTTGGATATACGAAACTTATCATGGAAACTGGGCAACATTCAGCTTGTATTGAAAAGATGAGATTACACAAGTTCCAGAGGTCTGGCGTCAATGCATCGTGCTTTTCGCATACCGCGGTCGACTTGCTGTTCCCTCCCGGCTGTCCACACCAACCACGAATCAACACTATCCTCCCGACACCAACCTAAGTCAGGTTGGCAAAGAAGGAATCAGTCAACATTTACTGCTATTTATATTGCAAACTTTTATTCTGGACATATCGAAAGATTCGGGTCACATATAAACTCAGCTTTTTCATGCGGGGCGCGAGGCGGGAGCTGATTTAAGGGGGGAAACCATATTTAGAGGAAGGGAGGGATAGAGATGATGAAGAATTACGATGTCGATGAACAATTTAGGAGAGGGAAAGAGGAAGAGAGAAAGGAGAGGAAATGCCAGCCCTAAAAGAGAAGGGAGTTACAGCACTTTTGATACCCTTTTTCTTGTATCTTTGAGCATATTGAGATTGTGGAAAGGGGGTTTGATACCGATGGAAGGATGAGATTTTAAGGTGGTGATGGGGGGGAGAAAAATATCAAGTTAAATATAATACTGCTGCCCTACGATGGGGTGGTTGGAAATGACTATGTTTTGACTTTGATATGCTGGTGATGATGTCAAATATTTGCTGGGTGACCACACTACTGACCTCCTCAGAGGATTTGGGTCTGGGTAATTCCCAACCTGCTAGATACCCCCTGACCCAAGAACATCTATTTCACATTTGTCGATCTACAACGGATCGACCGGCACAACGGTTTATTACCGGAACAGACGCAGGAGGACTGCAGTGTATGATCCTTCGAGTATAGCTTAACCTCGGCTTCTGTTTACCTAACGTCTGGAGTTCCAGATCACCACCGCTCTGCAAGTCGCCGAATGGGGACATGTACAAGCGTCTCATTGTTTCACGGAACGTAGTGAAGGGCCGGGCCGCTGTTTATTTTATTGCGGGGTGCAGAAGGAGTCAGAGTCAGATTGTTGACATATCTCTTGGGAAGACTAGGTAGGTAGTCATCCCGAGGGAGTGGGAGTCACGAAAATAGACCGGGGGGGGAAATCGCCGAGGGGATATGTCGTCGAGAACTCCTGGCTTGGTAATACTTGCGAATAGTGATATCTCTGTAAACAAATTCAATTACGGGAAAACATACAGTGTGATGTTCCTTCCCCAATTACCCACTCTGTGACATATGGATGCCGGCTTGCTTCTTGAATGTAGGTAGGATGGAGAATGGGTTCCGCCACCTCGTATAGCTCAATTATCCAAACCGACCCTCTAAAATCCTGATACTGCAAAGTGAGTTAGCGTGAGATGTGTAGAAACGCATCCTGAACCACGCCCGATATGCCATGTGAGTTAGTAAACAGATGAAACAGACATGACAAACAGTCAGAGACAATATATTTTCGTTGTAATCGGTCCTGTATCAGCCCTTTCATCCCGCCAGACTAATCCCATCATCAACATGACAACCCCCAATCACACAAATACCCAAACCCAATTCCCATACTCCCAACGCCGAACCATTTCCCAACAATCCAACAATCCACCCCTCCACTTCACCCAACCCAGCCCATCTACAACTTCGCCCTCCCACCCTCCTCCCCCCTCCCCAACCCCTCACTCAACCCAACCCTCCCCCACCAAAACTCACAAGCCTCCCTCTCCAGCCTTGTCAAGCTCTCCACCTTGACCGGATACCCTTGCTTCCTCTCCTGTGGCGGCACACTCCTATCCCGCTCATTATTCCCCTCCCCAAAAACCATCACCCTCCCCTTCCCCAAATCCTTCCACCACCCCTCCCGCTTCATCGGACTCTCAAACCTCGGCCATTGCACCCTCCTCCCCCTCGCAGCGTTAACATCCCCCCCCTTACTAGCCACAAATCCCGACCAAAAAGAAATCATCTCATCCGCCGTCCTGACCAACCCCGGCCTCTCATTCCCGTAACCCAAAAACTCCATATCATGCGCCACAACAGGCGCTTCATCCCCGTGATTAGCGGCTCCAAAGACACCAGTAGCAGCATACCGATATACATAAACGTTGGAAATCCCAGAAAGGGACATGAAATGCGCTGATTGCAGAACGGGGCATATATAAGCGTAGTGGGAGTACGCCGTGTCCAATCTATTCCACTGAGCCCCCTTTCCATTAGGAACAGAGACATACGGGCTGAGGGTCGGGTTCGTCACCGGGTCGGGGTACAATTCTTCCAATTTATCCAAATCAGCATCCTTCAACGTCGGGATCAAAGTCTTGAAAAAGGAGCGGAATTCAGAATTGGTGGAGGCGTCAGGGGGGATGAAGATTGTGCCTTCGTTTGTGTTGTACCCGGTGATGATCGGGATTTTGAGGTGGTGGCTGTTCTGCCAGGAGGAGATGGGGAGGTCGGGGATGATGTCTGGGAGGGTGTGGTTCGCGTGGGAGGAGTTGGAGTAGGGGTTTGGGCCGTCGATGACGGGCTGGAAGGGCCAGGTGACGCTGTCGACGTACTTGTCCCAGACGGCTTTGGAGCCGGCGACGATGGTTTTGAGGGGGAGGGTGCGGAGGTGGGGGAAAATTTCGGATTCGGGGATGTGGGCTGCGTTGATGGCGGTGAGGAACTCGCGGAATTGGATGAGGTGGCGGGGGTGGGTGGGATAGAAGACTGCGCGGGCGGTGGTGGCGCCGGATTCGAGGATGGCTTTGTGGAAGGGGGGTGGTCTGGGGGAGTTGGCGTAGTGCATGATGTGGTGGCCGATCTGATAATGTTAGTATCATATGCTCAGACGAGATGGTAAGTGAGGACATACCGAATGGGCACCGGCACTGAGTCCCATGATGGTGACATTGTCCTTGTCACCACCAAAGGCACCGATGTTGTCTTGCACCCACTCCAAAAGCGCCTGCTGGTCTCTCAGCCCGAGATTCAAAATCCCTTCCCTAGCAGTAATATCGCTCGGTAGAAAGCCCAGCGCGCCCACCCTGTAGTTGAAGTTCACAGCAACGATATCGTGCTCCGCCCAGGCGACGAAACTGGCCATGTTCCTCTCAATGCCTTTTCCAGCATTGAACCCTCCTCCGTGAATGTACACCACTACTGGCAGCTTTAGCTCGTTTCCGTCTTGACCTTTCCCATCTTTCCCCTTGATCAGTCCAGCAGGCCTGTAGACATTCAGGTTTAGGCAATTCTCGCCCTGGCCTATATATACCACCCCATCGTTGATCGGACAGAACTCTCCGTATCTCGTAGCTTGAAATGTTTCCTTCGATGGCTCTAGTGGCTGTGGTGGCCTGAATCTGTTTTGCCCTCCGGTCGTCTGAGCATAGGGGATGCCCCTGAATGCCTCCACCGATTTCTTGAATCTTGGCGCTTTGAGGTTTGTCGCCCCGATGTAAATGCCCTGCTTCAACTCGACTGCCGGAGCCGTCGCTTTCACACCGCTGCCCTTCCCTGTTGCTTTCCCTGGTGATGCTGTTGGTTTCGTCATTCTGACCAGTGTTGTCGTCGTCACCGGCGGTAAAATGAAAGCAGGCAAGTCCCCCAAAGAAATCTTCGTCCCTTGCTGCCCGGGTCTCGATGTCCCCAGCCCAGCGCCTGAATATGAATTCTTCAGTGAATATCCGTAACCGTGGCCATAGACTTTTAGATAGATCCACACCAACACTAACACAGCGAGCCCTGATATCCAAAGCGATAACCTGTTCCTGAAAAAGCCTCCTCTCGAATGGCCGTAAGAATATGATCTATGATTCGGTCGGACCAGGGGCCTCTGCTTTATACCCATTCCTAATCCTCCTCCTCCTCCATGCGACGAGGTTCGGGTTCGGTGTTGTTGTTGGAGAAGAAGCTCCACCGTTGCACTTCTCCCAGACCGGGACCCGCCGCTGCCGCTGCTAAAATGCGGAGAAGCTTCGCGGTCCTTGGCGTACATCTTGGTCGCCTGGGTGGCTGCGGAGCGGGAGAGTGGTAGAAAAAGGGTCTCTCGGCTATAATCTACCGGTGTATATCGTCATATCCATAGTATTTCCTTCTCTTTCGGGCTTCTGTGATCGTCGTTTCTTCTCCCGGTTTCTCGCAGGACGCAGCAGTGTTTGAGTACAAAGGCTTGAGAGTAGGTTTGTGTAGCGGTGGTTAACGGTTTCCGGGTTCGGTCGCTCGGGGCAATTGGTCCAGCGGCTGTTGAGGTCGCACAGCGGTTTTTGGTGTCTGAGATTCGAGTTGGCGCAAACTCTAAAATTTTGGAAGAATATTTGGGAAGGTGACCGTTTACATTGAGAACGAACGACTTAAAATGAACGACTGGAGAGAGGACGAGGGCAAAGCCACGCTCGTCTGAACATCGTGACGGCGGCACGGACACAACCATCCTTATAGGTTTCACCTCACTTTCGGATCAACGACGGCGAGGCTGCATATCAAACCCTTGACAATCGCCCGATTGAGCTGCATTTATCGACATGTAACACGAGATATTCCTACCTCACATCCCCTATCATCAGGCACGGAGACCCTTTGGGTCTAGACTCAGGCACATGTTGTGGTTACTGCGCCCGTCCGGTCTCCGGCTCGGCCGATGGGGGCCGTTGGTTGTTGTGGTCTACCATTTGGTTCAAGAATGAGCGCCTTATTAGCCATAACGCAAACAGAAGAGAAATAACCAGCTTTGGCCATAGTCGTAAATAAGGCAAATTAGTGGGCGGTTTTCGCATACGAAGACCTGCACTTGTCTGTACCACCCACCAATTCAAGGCCTCCCTCCAGCTGCATATGCAATCATGGAGATTGAACCAATGACGACTTGGAAAACAATGGGCATTTCTCACCGCCCACAGCTGAAGCCCAACCAGTAGAGGCATCGACGTTGCTTCATCTCAGCTCTAGCAACATAGAAGACTCGACATCAGCCAGTGTACACGATCAAGAAAACCATTACCTTAGCCATAGGTTGAAACCGAAATGCGGCGGCGATTACGGAATGTATTTCATAAGCCCCAGAAGCTGAAGGGGCCGGCGACCGACGAGCACCGACAAGTAATAGGTCCCACGCCGCTGGTGTTGTCGACCAGGCCCCTCCTCAATAATGGGAACCAAGCCAACGTCCCAGAATCAACCTCGAACAACAAGTACGTACACTCACATGTTCCACGCTGATTGCCTACTAATAGTTAGCAGTTCTATTACAGAACCATCCGAGCAGGCATCTTTGAACGTATTGCGGGACCGTCAGTTCGTGATCCGTCCTCATGCGGGCAGCAATGAAGCCAGGACAGCAGTCCCACCCAGGCGCCTAGCCACACAGAATGATTTGGAGATCGCCGTGATCTGCGCGCTCAAAACGGAGGCTGATGCTGTTCTGGCACTGTTCGACTGTCGTTGGGATGAACCTGGCTGGCTCTTTCGAGGGGACACCAACGCGTACACCTTTGGCGCAATTGGCCGCCATAATGTCGTCCTCATACACATGCCACACATAGGGAAAGTCAAGGCCGCAACGGCGGCTGCCCACTGCCAGCGGACCTTTCCAAATATCGGGCTTGCTCTCATTGTGGGGGTCTGTGGTGCTGTTCCGTTTACATCTACGGGGGAAGAGATTCTGCTGGGCGATGTCATCATCAGTGAACGTGTCGTCCAATACGATTTTGGTCGGCAGTACACCGAAGGCTTCGTGCTTAAGGACACCCCCAAGGATGCTCTAGCTGCCCCTAACAACGAGATCAGTGGTCTACTTTCGAAGTTGAAAACTTACGATCATAGGAAGGAGCTTCAGGAGCAGATTGCTCTGTATATACGCACCGTCCAGGACCATCCAGGACTGGGCTCGGAGTATCCAGGAGTGGAATACGACAAACGGTTTCCAGCCTCATATCGCCATGCCACTGATGATATATCGTGCGAAGATTGCTGCGATCTTGGCAAGCTGATGCCACCCAGTCGGCTTAGTCAAGAACCCGCAGTCCACATTGGCATGGTTGCGTCGAGTGACAAGGTCATGAGATCAGCAAATCACCGTGACGCCATAGCGCGCAGCTCAGATGTAATAGGATTTGAGATGGAAGGCGCTGGAGTTTGGGGCATTTTTCCTTGTGTGGTGATCAAGGGTGTCTGTGACTACGCAGATAGCCACAAGGCCAAAGGATGGCAGCAATACGCAGCAGTGACCGCAGCAGCATGTATGAAGGCATTTCTGGATCACTGGCGGCCGTCTGGTCGCAAGCCTGCTGCTCAGACTTGGTGTAAGTAACTCCAGCCTCCGTATTGCTTCTCTTGCAGGCATAGAAAGGATTCTAATACTGGCTGCAGTTGATGTCCCATACCAGAAGAATGACCACTTCGTTGGGCAGTCTGATATTCTGCGTAAACTGCGCGAGCTGCCACTTAAATCGGCCTCACATACTCGGGTCGCCCTCTGCGGCTTAGGTGGCATTGGGTAAGTCTCCTCTGAAATATGGGCACATTTAGACTCTTTCTAACGCGTAATAGAAAAACACAAATTGCCATCGAGTTCACATATTGGATCAAGGGTACCTACGACGACATATCAGTCTTTTGGGTCCACGCAAGCAACCACGAGCGGTTCCGTGAAGCATACACTGCTATCGCACAAAAATACCGGATCCCCGGGCATGAAGATCCCAAAGCAGAGGTGCTGCCATTGGTAAAGAGCTGGTTAGAAAGCAAGGAGCGTGGTCAGTGGATCATGGCAATCGATAATGCTGATGATCTGGAGCTTTTCTTCAACAGAAATGGTGGATTGGGACGCTACCTTCCAGAGTGTGCGCACGGGACTATCCTCATCACCACAAGAAACCTGCAGGTCGCCTCCAGGCTAACCAAAGGAATGGCCTCGTCCGTTATTAGGATCGGAAAGATGGATGAAGTCGAGACAGCCCAGTTGCTCTCAACACGGCTTGCAGAAATCGACACGATGCCTGGGGATTATGCAGGACTTTCTGCTCGGCTTGAGCATCTACCATTGGCACTGGTTCAGGCGGCTTCGTTCATCCAAGAGAACAGTATCACGATCTCTCGATACATCCAACTCCTGGACGAGAGCGACCAGACTCTTATCGGTCTACTTAGCGAAGACTTTGAAACGGTTGGGAGAGACTCGGAAACTCCTCGCGCAGTAGCAGAGGCTTGGATTATCTCTTTTAAGCAAATTCACAATCGGAACACCCTCGCAGGCGAGCTTCTTTCAATCATGAGTTTCCTCGATCGCCAGACCATTCCCTATGAATTTCTTTTCACGTACGCCAAAGACCACGGTGCAGGCGAATTTCAGCTCATCAAGGCACTAGGGGTACTAAAAGCGTTTTCGTTTGTCACTGAAGACAAAGACCAGAAATTTGATATGCATCGACTCGTGCATTTGGTCACTCGAAAATGGCTGGTTCAGAACGGCATAAAGCAAAAATTCGCCGAGCGGGCACTCTTGGTCGTGACTGTGTGTTTCCCGTGGGGGGAGTACAAGAATTGGACTATATGCAACGCATACCTCCCGCACACCACTGCTGTGTTAAAACTAGGAGAAGACATTTCCTCAAGACAAGGAAAGCTGGCGAGAGCAAGCCTTCTTCATAATGCGGGCGCGCTTTTCTCTGGACGGGGAGATTTCCAGAGAGCGGCATTGTACCTGAAAGAAGTATGGGAGATCAGTCAAGCCCACTTGGGCGAAGAGCACCCAGGCACATTAACCAGTATGAACAACCTAGCATCAACATACCAGTCACAAGGCCGGTGGAAGGAGGCCGAATTACTACAGTTGCAAGTAGTGGAAATTCGAAAGAGGGTTCTAGGAGAAGAGCACCCAGGCACAATAACCAGTATGAACAACCTAGCATTAACATACGAGTCACAAAGCCGGTGGAAGGAGGCCGAATTACTACAACTACAAGTAGTGGAAACTGGAAAGAGGGTTCTAGGAGAAGAGCACCCAGTCACATTAACCAGTATGAACAACCTAGCATCAACATACAAGTCACAAGGCCGGTGGAAGGAGGCCGAATTACTACAGCTGCAAATAGTGGAAATTCGAAAGAGGGTTCTAGGAGAAGAACATCCCGATACATTAAATAGTATGCACAACCTGGCCTTAACTTGAAGGGGTCTGGGGCGGCCTAATGATGCGTTAGAGCTGCTTGAAGAATGCCTTTGTCTGAGAGAGAAAGTGCTTGGGTTAGATCATCATGGGACCATTAACACACAAGCGGAAATAGCTTGGTCATATATGGAGCAAGGTCGATTACCTGAGGCTGAAAGAATACAAGCGGGAATGCTAGGAAAGCGGAAAAGGATATTGGGAGAAGAGCATCTTCACACGCTGATCAGCATGATTAACCTCGCACATACTTGGAAGGTCATGGGTCGCCTTGAGGCAGCTGTAGAGTTGATGCAGGAGTGTGTTCGCCTCCGTCAGAAGGTCTTGGGCTCGGATCATCCCGATACCGTCGAAAGTTTGTCGGCACTGGAAGAATGGCAGGATTTGAGAGGCGAAGGCGGTGGCAACGGGAACACACACGGCAATTCTGAGGCAAACACTGCAATGAAGAGCGGTGAGAACGCCGGTGGGAGCAGCAGTCACCACGAAGACGTCGATAACGGCACGGATGACGATGCTGGTTACGAGGGCAACGAGAACGGGAACAACAAGGCTGGCCAGAGCTCAGAATCTCAGCAATGTCAGGCCACCAGGGGCGGGGATGAGAAAGGCAACATCGGGGACGGAATCCAAGATGGCGAGGGGCGGCGCAGCAGCGAAGATGGGAAGACAGTTGAGGCTGACGAAAGTGGATATGGGCCTAGGCCAGAACGTTTCTAGGAATATTATCAGGATAAACAGGGAGGGCTGGAGCAGAGCTTTGTCTAATAGCTAACGCCACTTGAGGAACTACCTAGGAAAGGAGGGGACGACAGGTATCGTGGAATACTCAGTTTCCTTCTTTTATTCTGATGTTTTTCAGCTTTTGACAGTATGTTTCAGGGCCACATACCTATATCGCGGATTTCATTCTGTAGCTTAATTGTGTGTATCACGCCTAGGTAGCCATAGCTAATTACAAAATATTGTGTGGCCCGGAACCATACCTTCGTCATCACCAACAATCGATATTCCGTACCACTTCCAGCCAGCTTTGCTCGGCTTCTTGCTGTTGCTACTTCAACAGGGACTGTAATTGAGCTGATGTACTTACTGCTGGTACTCTTTTGACCAGAGCAATATACATTTCTTGGACACGATAGAAACGTCGAAGACCGTAAAGACAGGGGGGCATTGCAAAGGCAGCCTTTAGATTTTACCAAGTCGACATGATGTCAACCAGTACAGGTGATGATGGTAATCTGTTCCATTCTCCCTAACATAACATACAGTATTCCTCTTCAAACCCAACTTCACTCTTCCCAAGCCAAAAACCAACCCCCTAACAATACCCCATCTCTTCTAACCCCCCACCAAAAACCCCAATCATAATCCTAACAATACCCTATCTGTCTTTCCTTACAGCAATCAATCCAGAATCAAAAGAAAACGACTCCCAAATAATAAAAACTCCAAGCTAACAAAACCCTTCCCCCACCATCTAATACCCCTGCCCACCACTCCCACCCCCCGACCCAGAAATCATCAAACCAGCCCTCTTCTGCCTAACAGCCATCTTCTCCTTCCACTCCCGTCCCAGAGCCCTACTCCGTTCCGCAGCCTGCTCCCTCGCCATCTTGGCCGCCTGCTCCCTCTCCTTCCTCTCCCTCTCCCTCTCCAAAGTAAAAGAATTATCCCTCTTGAAAATCTCCTTCCCCCTCATCTTCTGCTGCTGCACCTCCTCCTGGCTCACAGTAGTAGTAGTAGTGCTGCTCCTCTTCCCACTACTGCTAGCAGCAGAAGTGGCCGACATCCCCCTGCTAGAAGAACCCGCTCCCCCAGCAGAAGGAGCAGCAAGAGATGTCCGACCTCTAGTCGTCGTTGCCGTCGTGGTCGTCAGAGACACAGCCGCCGCTGACCGTGTCGAAGCAGCCACCGTGCTAGAAGCATACCCACCCCCAGTAACAGCAATGGAATGCCTCATTCTCGCCGCAGAAGCTGACGTAGGCGCAGTAGCAGTCGAGGTATGCGTCGGCGTCGTCGCCTGTCCCCCAGCCTCCATCCTAGCCTGCCTCGCCCGGCTAGTAGCCGTCTCCCGAACTGAATTTCCCCCACTGCTGCCAATAACACTCGCACGAATTGGTCTAGCCTTGAATTCCCTCCTCTTTTTCTCCTCCTCTTCTTGCGCCTTCAGCCGCGCCTCGCGTTCCTCCCTCTTCCGCCGTGAAATCGCCTCCCCAGGCAACTCAAACGTCGGACGTGTCAACGGCTTGCTAGACTTGGCATGCGGCTTGCTAGGCGAGAATTGCGCGGCAATAGCGGCAGCTTCTTCGGCAGAAACCTGCTGAGAGAGCCTCGCGGCGCGCTGTTCCTTCAGGCGACGGGCGACAGCCTCACCAGGGAGTTCAAAAGCCGGGACGGTGGGTGCTCTGCTACATTTCACCGTGGCCTTGGGAGGCAGCAGACTAGAAGGACGGGCAATAGAGCGGCGGACTGTAGAGGTGTTGGCGGCGGTCTTGGAAGTAGAAGCAGGCTTGTCATCCTCCCTAGCCGATGACGCCGACGTCGACTTCCGGACCGACGAGCTGCGTTCAGCTGTGCTGCGTGTACGGGTAGTAGTGTGAGTAGTGGTAGTAGTAGAAGTCGACGCTTTAATAGTCGAGGCCCGTCTTGTCGACGTTGAGGGCTGCTGCTGAACAGGAGCCTCAGGAATAGACTCAAGAACCGGCTCGGTGGCCAACTCAGGGGAAACCACCCTTTCCAACTGAGCCACCTTATTAAGGGCCTCAAGTTCCTCCTCAAGCTTATCAAGTTCCTCAACCGAGTCCTCAATCCTCGAAAGCGGCCTAGCAGGCTGCGGCGACGGCAAAGGAGACAAGTGTTCCATGCCCATCAACGACTCATCAACCTTGATACTCAACACCGACTTTGGCCTCTCCTCCTGCCCCTCCGGCTGCAGATTCTCCTCCCCGCCCCTCAAAACAGTCGAGTTCTCCTCCTGCGAAACATTCCCAACAACACTGCTATCCGCCTCCTCCACAACAACAGACTGCTCCACAGCAGACATCTCCTCTTCACTCTCCACCCGAGTAGCTAAAAGGGTATACCTGTTAGTGAGCGAGCCACCATGGTCGACAGAAGCGCCATCAGACTGCGTCCTGTTATGGATAAGGTTGCACCCAAACAAGACATTCTTCCCACCGCCGCCGCTGCCCAGATCGGGTTCTTGGTCTTCTCCGTCATGGGAATCACCGAGAGACCGGTTTCCCACCCGGCGGCGCGACTTGCTGCGAAACGGGAGCGGAATCGTAAGAAGCCATTCGAACTGACCTTCCTGGTGCTTTCTTATCTGCTCCAAGTTGCTGGGGAGCCGGTGCTCGGCTTGGGCTAGGGGGTTGTTGTGCTTGAAGTCTACATCAACCAAGAATTAGCATTGACTCTGTAAAATGTCTCAAGACAGTGAAGCTCACCGTCAGAGGCAACAGTTGTCTCGCTTCCGTTGGTGGTGGCAGAAACCACACGGTGCTTGTCAAAAAAAGGATGATCGTATTCAATGTTGTTGTCAACAGACAACCGAACCCTCCGGTCCTTGGCCTTGTGTCCCTGCTGACAATTGCCTTCCTTCGAAGAGTATTCAAGATGGAGGCTGCCCAGATCTCGGGCCAGAGAATCAATGTTGAGCGAGTTAAGATTGTGAATATCGCTCAGGACGGCGAACTTGTTGCCGGGTGGTAAGTTGGCCTTTTGCGAGAGATGGCTGTGGTCAGTGTGGATGTCAAAGTCGAGACTCGGCCGATGTCTCGAGGTGGTGGTGGCCATCATTGTTCTTTAAATCGCAGCAATAAACCGACGAAATATGCCAAGGCTAGCCACAGGGTCTCAGACCTCAAAGCACACGATGCCCCCAAGAGTGTGAAAGGCCAGGGGGGTCGGAATGCAATTTCGCGGTTAATCAGCGGACGATTGGTCAGTGCCGAGGGGTCGAGACTTTGGGGAAAATCAGATGGAAAGATATCGTTCAGTTATCAGTTGATCAAGAATGCTTGGTAGCAATTGGAGCGTAGTGCTCAAAAGACAGCAAAAGCAATATGGACGAGAGAACGTATGTGTAGATTGTGTGTATGGTGTTGATGGGAAAAGAGGACATCTCCAGAGGACTGGCAGTCTCTTGTTTACTTTCCAGCAAACGCGTCGGGGAGGGGCGTCCCTCTTTGCCTTCTCCCATCCTTCCCCTCTGTGCCTTCTTGTCTCGTGTAGACAAGGCATGATGGGCATACTGCATCTCCCACTCTGCAGCTTCCCCGACCTTCCAAAGGAGCAGCAGCACAGCTCCCGCAACCCCATCATCAAACACCCCACCAGAACCGTTCTCGGTCCCAAGTGACGATACCCCACCTGCAATTCCGCCGGAGTCCCTGTCCCAGTTGCACATCATTCGGATTTGCACCCAAAGAGGCTAGACTTAATGTTCCCGTCGTTCTGATGGCTGACTAAGGAACGCGAGAATGACGCGCCTTGCTTGGCAGAATGTACCCCGCCTTGTCTCTGGTCTTATCGGCTTGAGGCACAGCAACCTGGATCGATATGATATCGATATTGTAGTTTATGCATCCAACAGAGACCAATCGACCTCTAATCCATACATATGACAGTCCATCCTTAACCATGCTTTCAGGTGTGATGTGACCGGCTGTGGATTGCAAGGAGGAGAGGCCAACCCAGTGTGATTCTCTCATGTCGCAACGGTTTCAGCCTGATTCCTGCTCTTCAGCTGCGCCCTCCGCATGTGCTTGTAGAGCAGGAGCATGTTCGGTCGGGATCCGGACGAGTGTCTGTGGCAAGGGCGTTGTGTCTTCGGCTTCGGGGTTGGGCTTGGGAAGTTTCGCTGCTGCCAGTTAGTGCTGCCCCATTCCGACAGGAAGGGAACTCGGAGAGATATGCATACCCGATGCCATGTTGATCGCCCTCAGCACATTATGCCAATTAGCGAAGACCAGAGCAATGGCTGCCAGAAAGTCAGTAACTTGGGCAGGATCAAGCCAGCCACAGCCCAACAAGACAACACACCTTCCGTTCCGTCTGAGAGAGTTCCTAACTTCTGTTCAAGAGCCTCCATCTGTGACGCAACTGCAGCACTCAAATCCCGGAGCTCTTTAAGGTTCTCGAGTTCGGCCTTCTTCTCGTTCACTCGTGCCACCAGAGCTGGAGACTGGCCCCCCGCGCCAGGCCCGAGAGAGGGCTGTCGCATGTGGGATGGGAAACTTCGGGTTGGGTAGCCGGACATCTTAGCGATCCGAGGTGTTGGCAACGAGGCAATCAAGTCGAAGAGACAGCTGTCGAGGTCAGGTATAGATACTGAAATGATTATTCGTGCAGTTCACACATGTCAGTAGCGGACTCGTTTTTCTGACGTGTGTTGGCATCTGGAAGTGGGGCAGAGCTCGGCTTTGGAGCCAGCCAAAAACGGTTGCCAGTCAACACAAGTCTCGAGTGGTCCGTGCATAGTGCAATGCTATGCTTCTTTAGGAAGTGAAGTAAACACTGTGCAGAAATGACAAGCAAATTATCCATGTAACTTCGTCAGTGTCACCGCCCTTCCCGACTTCTCGCACCTTCAAATCCACCCGCCGACCACCCGCCGACCACCGGAATCGCGTCGCCTGCGACCCTACAATCATCGAATACCGCCCCGCCGATCCTTTTTCAGTGAGAGCCTGTCTCACCAGCACACTGGAAACAACCTCGAGCTGTTTTGCTCGAACAACATGCACAATGGCCCGACTCAATGAGCCACCTGTGTCTGCTACTGACGGCAATCTGGAGATCTGTATGCTCTTCCACCCGTTGTCTGCCATGATTCTGTGTCGCTGACATTTATATTGTGTAGTACGTCGAAAGTTTTTACGGCAAAATCGAGACATCGCCAGAATCAACTCGGATCAGTCACAGAAAATCCGTCGCCTCGAAAACGACTGCGCGTGTCTCCTGTCCGAGAATTTGGAGCTCAGAGGCCAGATACTCCGTCTGGAAAAACAACTAGAGGACAACAGCGCGCGAAGGATAGCCGACCATGCGCTCGAGATCAAGGCAAAGCTAGAGGCCCAACTCGCCGAATTTGGCGCGTTGCTAGGGAACCTGGGAGTGGAACCACCGGCGAAACGACATTCTGGTGCAGATAGGAGATTCTCAAAATCGTCGCGGCCGAGCATCTCCAGGACGCCCCCAGCGATAAGAAGACGACGAGACACCAATGTGGACGCAGAGACCTTGGCTGCCCAGGAGGGGAGGATGCCGCCGATATACGAGAACAAGAGCTATCAAAGAGCGACCATGAACAGCGAGGAGATTATGGCCTTGTGTGCTGCCGCTGCCGACACGAGTGCGGATTCATTGGATCTAGGACCACCGCCTGTTTCGCGGTTTATCGATGAGGAGCCAGTGAAGAAATCTTCGCCAATCCGAAAATTCGACGACGGACAGCTGAATTTGTCATCGCCACCCAAACTCGATTTGACCAAGAAACTGGAGGCCAGCCCAGAACCGAGCAAGATGGCAGAGACCTCGCCCATGAAGGATGTTCAGCCTGAAAAGAGATCACAGTCTTTTGAGCAGCAGCCACCAACACCACCTACGCAAACAATAAGAGCGGGAGCGAAGAGGAAATATGGCGACGAAAATAATATCCAGACTACGTTGGACCAAACAGCCAAGGCATTCAAAGACGTGGTAGCTGCTGAAAAGGCTCTCCCAGCCGGCGATATCTTTCAGAAGCGTAGGAGCATCAAGGAATTGCCAGCGAGCAAGAGGGACAGGGCAAGGGCACCATTATCTGCAAAAAGCACGAACGAGGATTTCATGTCACCCAAGAAGATGGCGATCAAGCCAAAGCCGGTTGAGGAACCAAAGAAGGAAAAGGCGCCAGAACCGAAAGAAAATAAGGAACAACCTAAAGCACGGAAATCAACAGTTCCCGCGATCCAAGTCCCGCCAGTCGCCCTCCCGCCTCCAACAGTCCTATCCGTCATCGCCGAACCAGAGGCACCGCTCCCTATGTCAATTCTCGCCTCCCCAACAACACCCGGCCGACCCTCCTCCGTCGAGCCACTTCCCCATGATACCCCACCACCAGCACATATCTCCTCCGAGGGTGAGACCTCCCGCCCAAGCCGCCGCGCCCGCCCAGCAATAAGCTACGCTGAACCTAACCTCCGGGATAAAATGCGTCGCCCTACCAAGGAATTATTCGATGCCGTCTCTGGCGAGGGGAAATTCCACCGCCCTAGCACTTCGGCAAATCCCAACCCAACATCAGCTCCTACCTCCTCTGCTAAGCCAAGGTCTGAATCAACCGTTACATCCAGCGGGGGGCTCTCAGCCAGCGTCCACAAACCACCTCCCACTGGTAGTCCCCTTGCAGCGAAAGAATCAATGCAAATAGACAACATAACCTACGACAGAAGGAAACGCCCCTCTCTTGCGATTCGCGAGCCTGAGCCGCCGGCAGAACAACAACCAGAAATCGACCCGTATGACTTTGCCAGCACATCCACCTCAACACTAAGTCTAGCGTCACCACCACCACAACCGAAGCGGGCGGCAAGGAAATCAAGTATGGCTGCTCAGGCGGCGTTACATAAGATGCAGCTAGAAGAGGAGAGGGAGGCGGATGTGGAGAGCGGGACGAATAGGCCGAGGGCGAGGAAGGCGAGGGCGTCGATGTTGGCGCCGAAGAAGAGTGCGTTTTTGGGGGAGTATGTCGAGGAGAGCTCAGTTGGTACGGTGGGGGATGAGAGTACGGGATCTGTGGAGAGTGGGAGTGGTGGGAAGGGGAAGGGAAAACAAGGGGTTGTGGATAGGAGGAGGAGTATGATGCTTTGATTTTTGGGTGCATTTGTTTGACTGGAGTTTGGGGGGCAAAGCGTTAGGGGTTTCTGGGATAGGAAATGGCATTTTGGGAATTGGGAGTTTGACGACAAATTGTGTTAGGTTTCGTTCTTGTCGTTCTTTAACAACAAATGGGGAGGGGGAAATGGCTGCTGGATGATACCAATTTTGTTTTGTTTGTGAATCGTTATTGGGTTGTTAAATATCAATCATTTTGAAAGACTACCGTAACTGATGTTACCTTTTGGTATGTTTGAAATGAGCATGATTCGAAGTATTAGGTAATATTTTGATATTGTTTGGAGCCCCTTTTCAAAGAGCTCTCTCTCTCTTGAGCTGAGTTGGATGACTGCAATGCCCAAACAGCTCAGGCACAACACATCTTTCACGCTTTGCTTGCTGTACAGCAGCAACGCTCCATAACCACTCAAACGCTCCTCTTTTCTAGATCCGGTACCGTATTCCCTACTCCCTCGACTCTGTCTCTCTCATCTTCCCGGGTATCATGGACCAGTTGGCTCAACCGGCTTGGTATACGTCACCTTTTCCACCGCCACATTCTCAACCCCATTCGCGTCTTTCCTCAGCTGGTAGACATATAGTGTCAACGAGATTCCTTGTACCTGTTTTCCACTGTCAGCATCTCCCCTCCTTACCATCCCACCCCTCAAAACTTACATCCATCAAACAGAAGCTCGGCACCATCTCCTCCTCCCCCTCCCCCTCCCCATCCGCCCAATCTGTCGAGAACGCCCCCGTCGCCGTCCCAGGGTTGATAAAGAACTTGTCCATGTACTCAAAGCACTCGAATTTATGAGTGCCGCCCCAGCAGAGGACGTCGACGTCAAGTTTGTTGGCCTCTGCGAGTAGGAGGTCGGGCTCGGAGCTGACGAGGGTGAAGCCTTCGAGGAAGCCGATGCGGACGCCGCCGTGGGTGACGACTTGAGTCAAAGGGAGGGAGGTGGCTTCGACATCCATGCGGCCTTTGACGATTTTGAGGTCGGGGGAGATGGAGCGGAGGTATTCGTAGGTTGATTTGTCGGTTAGGTTACCTAGGCAGAGGGTTTGGGAGATTTTTCCGGGGGCGAGGAGTTTTTTGAACTGGAGGGGGAGAGGTTAGAAAGGGGTGGTTATTGAATAGGGGGTTGGGGGGGGGTTGGATTGGGGGATGGGGGGAGGGAGGTAGGAGGGTACCTTTGCTGGAATGTCGAGGGCGCGGTCGGGTATGTGAAGGTCGCCGATTACTAGGATTAGGAAGGCCATTGTTGCGGTGGTGGATGGGTGTGAAGCGCTTCGGTGGTGGGTTGCGCTGGAGGGTTGAGCTGTTATTCTATGCGCCGCGGGCTACTGTATCGGGGGAGGTCCAGTTGGATCTTAGTTGGAAATTGAGACGCGGTGTTTAAGGTCGTCTGGACTATATCAACCGGTTTGGTATCGACCCTCGTAGCTTGATGTCTGGTTAAGTGGCAGCGTTATGTATTGGTGTTGACTGGAAGCTATCTGATGATAGCTGTCGTGGCCGGGTCTTGGCTGACTGACCACGGTGAACATCGGTCAAGGAACGATAAGATTAGAAGACCCCTGGGCGTTGGAGGCTGATGTTGGGGCTGGGACTGCGGGGTAGCAATGACGAACGACACTCCAGCCTCCCCCACTTCTCCACAGTCCCTCTAGCGGCGAGCGGGTCCGAAGACGGCTTCTTCGCCGGACGGACCCGGCCCTGGAACAAATCCATTCTTCCATTGCACAATGTTCGGTGCATTTGGCATCAAGACGAGCATTATCAAAAGGGGCAAAGCGTCTAGAATTGGACACTTTGGCATCCGTGACTAATAGCAAACTGTAGACTTTTTCCAACCGGGCCTAGACAACCTGGAAGCCGTTTAGGTGTTGAAACGGATCTTGTCTGGGCGGTCAGTATTTTTTGTTCATTTTTATACGAACCCAAACACCGACTTTTCTCCTTGTTGCTCTCTTCATTCCCGTCTTTTCTCCGGTGGCCCTGCTTGTCAGACTTATTTTGAATATCCCATACACATTCGTCCGTTTCTTCCGTCATACAGAGTCCAATCACACCAAGAAACCCTTCCGTTCCAGGTACCTGGACAGAAGAGACAAAGCAAGGCGTTGGATACCGTCGGTTCAGGCAAGATAAGGTACAGAACGGTGTGGGGAGCTTGCAGACGCACATGGTGCTTATACCCGAGGTCTCCAAACTGTCGCGCTCGGCGTTCAGACGGTTAGGAATGACCCCGCCAAAAACACCGGACGCTCCCCCCGCCCGTTTATCGTTGATCTCACGACATCTTGCCCCCGTATATCCGATCAACACCCCCTACGCTGTCGAACGTCTTCCCAGCACCGTCGACACCTCACTTCTGCCCAGGATTCAAGTGCGCGAGATCACGACAACCACCCCCAAGATGTCTCAACCCACCCACCCAACGCTCCTGATTCCAGGACCCATTGAGTTCGACGATGCTGTCCTCCAGTCCATGAGTCACTTCAGGTATGTAGGGGTGGTTATGAAGTGTCTTGCCGTTCTGTTTAGGCTTTGAAGGATCCAGAAGCTGACACCCACATCTTCCCACTCATCAGCGAAAGCCATGTGAGCGCCGGTTTTGTTGCTACCTTCGGCGAGACCCTGTCTATGTTGCGCAAGCTGTTCCAGACCACCGATCCTGCGTCTCAACCATTCGTTCTCTCTGGATCCGGTACTCTCGGCTGGGATTTGGTTGCTGCCAACTTGATTGAGGCTGGCGAGGACGTGTTGGTGCTTGGAACCGGCTATTTTAGTGATGGCTTCGCCGACTGCCTCAGAGTGTATGGTGCCAATGTCACCGAGCTCAAGGCCCCCGTTGGCACCAAGCCCACCCTCCCCGAGATTGAGAAGGCTCTGTCGGAGAAGAAATACAAGGCGATCACCGTCACCCACGTTGACACATCGACTGGTGTCTTGAGCGAACTCAAGAATCTCTCTGCTCTTGTCCACAAGGTCTCGCCAGATACCCTCATTATTGTCGACGGTGTCTGCAGTGTTGCGTGTGAGGAGATTGATTTCGATGCCTGGGGTCTTGATGGTGTTGTCACTGCCAGTCAGAAGGCCATTGGCTGCCCTGCCGGTCTGTCGATTTCCATGTTCAGCGGTCGTGCCATGAAGGCTTTTGAGAACAGGAAGAGCCCTCCCTCGGCCTACTTCGCTTCTATGAAGAACTGGACCCCTAGTAAGTTTACCTCGCGTTGATATATACGCATTACAGCCCGACTAACGCGATTAGTCATGCAAAACTACGAGGCCAAGAAGCCCTCTTACTTTGCTACCCCCTCGCCACAGCTTGTCCACGCTCTTCACACTGCTCTGAGCCAGATCCTTGCGAAGCCTGTGGCTGAAAGATTTGCCGGCCACAAGGCCGCCTCAGACAAGATCAAGGCTGCCATCGGTGCCCTTGGTCTTCAGCAGGTTGCGGCCAACCCTGATGAGCAGGCTCACGGCATGACTGCCATCTATCTCCCTGAGGGCGTCAAGGGCGCCGAGCTCCTGCCTATCCTCGCGAAGAAGGGTGTTGTGTTTGCCGGTGGTATCCACAAGGAAATCGTCACCAAGTATATCCGTTTCGGTCACATGGGTGTCAGTGTGGTGAGTAATCCCAGTGTATTTGTGTTTGATTATCAAGCAACAATGACGACTAACAAGGCAATCCACAGCTCGACCCCACCAGAGGCGATATTGAGCGTGCTGTCAAGGCTTTGGAGGAGGGTCTTGCTGAGCTTGGATATACCAAGTCTTGAGCGTGGAATGATGTAGGGAATGAGGTGAAGTTGGATCTAAAAGCAATGGCATTATGGCCATAGAGGGGTGCATAAAAGAAGCCATCTTGAAATAGACAATCTGTGTTTGAATGCCCAACACCATCTCAAACCATTTCAAACGAAGCAGATGCCCCCTTGGGGCTCTTGTTCCCAAAGCAGTGATGGATATGCCCATAAAGGTAAGAAACAGGTTTGCAATTCAGGTACTGGAAGTAGGTTCATTGGCTGCAGTTGACGTGCAGGCTGTTGCAGAGCTGGTGGGTGTTCCCGAGCCACTGGAACCGAAGAGGTGTTTGATGAGGGTTGCTGGCAGAATGATTGGCTGAAGCTCAATGATTGATTTCAAAGCTGCCGGATAATTTAATGACCAGCTCCGGCTTCAGCGCTTCTGGGCATCTCTGGAAGAGCCGACTCTCCACCGCCAGCGAAGCAGGCTGCTGCATGCAAGGCGGGGTTGCTCGCCTAGCAACAATCGAGAGGCTGGTGGGGTTCGGCCTTCTGAGCTTTCGACCCGACGTTCAATTCTCTTATCCATACTTCCGTCATCCCACTCAACCCAGCACTTGCAACGCTCTTGCTTTACCAAAATCCTGACCGCCCTCTCCCCCCGCCTTCCATTCAAGACCTTTCTACAGAACCTTACCATCGACAAAGTGGACAGCGACCGTTGTGCCTGAGACCTCGTCCTCTCTCCTTGCAATCCTTCCTCTGCGCACCCTCTCGGCCTCGGTTCCCCATACATACCTCAACCACAACCACAATCACACAGCGATAGGTGTGCGACTACGACCATGCCGGTCTCTATCGAAGAGTTGGACGCCACTGTCCGTGCCTTCTATGAGGGCCGCGGCGAACAGGTATGTTTTGATTCTACGCTTCTGTCGTCCAGGCAGTCACTCTCACACCGTCAATGTTGATGCTAACCGCCTGTTCTGTCTACAGCAAAAAGCTGCCCAAGCCGCTCTTAACCAGGCAAGTCTGCCACTCGCCTCATTCCCCACGATACCGATCCAGCAACACCCATAGCTCCATCCAAGCCGTTATCGACTAACTCTGCGATTGTAGTTCAAGGAAGACCCTGATGCCTGGTTGATGGTCGACGATATACTCTCGAAGGCGAGCTACGAACAGACGAAATGTTGGTTTCCGATTCTTATCCGGGCGCAGAGGGACTGGGTCTGAGGTGATACTAACTGCGACATCTAGTCTTGGGTCTCCAAGTTCTCGATCATGTCATCATGACGAGGTGGAAGGTTCTGCCACGAGAGCAGTGCCAAGGTAGGTTACAGTGGTGTGTTGTTGGCCATGCTCGGGAGCTGTGGACTGACAACTGTCTAGGCATCCGTAACTTCGTCGTTCTAACCATCATGCAATGCTCTGGCTCTGAGGAGTCGCTCAAGGCGAACAAGACACTACTCAACAAGCTGAACCTTGTTCTCGTGTCTGTCTTGAAGCAGGAGTGGCCTCACAACTGGCCTACATTTATCAACGAGATCATCTCTGCCTGCCACTCGAGTCTGTCAGTCTGCGAGAACAACATGACGATTCTGAGACTCCTCTCCGAAGAGGTGTTCGACTACTCAGCCGAGCAAATGACTTCCACCAAAACCCGCAACCTCAAGACAACGATGTGCAACGAGTTTTCCCAGATCTTTACGCTGTGCCAGGAAATCCTCAACAGCGCGACCCAACCAAGCCTCATCAAGGCCACCCTCCAGACACTGTTGCGCTTCTGCAATTGGATTCCCTTGGGGTACATTTTCGAGACGCCACTCATCGACACCCTCAGGACCAGATTCCTCGAGGTGCCCGAATTCCGGAATCTCACTCTCCAATGTTTGACGGAAATTGGTGGTTTGCAGACGGGAGGTCCTGGCCAGGTCAACTCTTATGACGAACAGCTCGTCAAAATGTTCACCGAAACGTTGACGCAAATTTCCAACATTATTCCTCTAGAGATGGATCTCAAGACAACGTATCCTCAAAGCAACTCTCGTGACCAGGAGACTATCCAGAACCTGGCGCTTTTCCTGTGCAACTTCTACTCCGCGCATCTACCCTTGATCGAGAACCTTCCCAACCGCGATTTCCTCACCCACGGTCATTTCTACCTCATCCGCATTTCACAGATCGACGACCGCGAGATGTTCAAGATTTGCCTCGACTACTGGCTTAAACTGGTGCAGGAGCTCTACGAGGAGATGCAGTCGCTACCTTTATCCGACATGACGGCTATGAGCGCCTTGGGTGGTGGCGGCGGCGCCCCCAATCCAGCACTGCTCAACAACTACCCGCTCCGCAAGCACAAGTACAACGAAGTGCTGTCGAACCTGAGAGTGGTCATGATTGAGAAGATGGTCAGGCCTGAGGAAGTCTTGATTGTGGAGAACGATGAGGGAGAAATCGTTCGTGAATTTGTCAAGGAAACCGACACTGTTCAGCTCTACAAGACGATTCGCGAGTGTCTCGTTTACCTCACCCATCTCGATGTCGTCGACACCGAGAACATCATGACTGAGAAGCTGTCGCGACAGGTCGACAGATCCGAGTGGTCGTGGCACAACTGCAACGTCCTCTGCTGGGCCATTGGTTCCATCTCTTTGGCCATGAACGAAGAGACGGAGAAGCGTTTCTTGGTGACCGTGATCAAGGAGCTCCTCGGTCTCACCGAGATCCAACGTGGCAAAGACAACAAGGCCGTTGTCGCCAGTAATATCATGTATATTGTTGGACAGTACCCCCGCTTCTTGAAGGCTCACTGGAAGTTCCTCAAGACGGTCGTCAATAAGCTGTTCGAGTTCATGCACGAGTCTCACGAAGGTATGCCACCCTATTCAAGCCAAATCTTTTGTTGCATTTCGCTAACTCTCAGACAGGTGTTCAGGACATGGCTTGCGACACTTTTATTAAGATTGCGAAGCAGTGCAGACGTCACTTCGTCGCTCTCCAGCCAAGCGAGAATGAACCCTTTATTGAAGAAATCATTCGAAATCTTGGGAGGATCACTTCCGACTTGACTCCTCAGCAGGTGCACACCTTCTACGAGGCCTGCGGTTACATGGTGGCTGCCCAGGGCAACAGGAATGTTCAGGAGCGCCTATTGACTGAGCTCATGAGCATCCCAAACACCGCCTGGGATCAGATCATTCAGGCGGCTACCCAGGACTCCACCATCCTCCAGAATGCCGATACCATCAAGATCATTGGCAACATCATGAAGACCAACGTCTCGGCCTGCTCCTCCATCGGCACATATTTCTTCCCTCAGATCGGTCGCCTCTACAACAACATGTTGGAGATGTACGCTACCACCAGTCAGCTGATTTCGCAGGCTGTCGCCCGCGAGGGTGAAGTCGCGACCAAGATGCCCATCGTTCGTGGCCTGCGGACCATCAAGAAGGAAATTCTCAAACTTGTGGAGACCTTCATTGACAAGGCTGAGGATCTCCAGACAGTGCGGGCCCAGATGGTTCCCCAACTTTTGGACTCTGTCCTCGTTGACTACAACCGCAATGTTCCTGGCGCCCGTGATGCTGAGGTCCTCAGGTGCATGACCGCCATGATCACAAAGCTCTCTGGGTTGATGGAGGATCAGGTTCCAGTCATCATGGAGAATGTGTTTGAGTGCACTTTGGAGATGATCAACAAGGACTTCTCTGAGTTCCCGGAGCACCGTGTCGAGTTCTTTAACCTGCTCCGCGCCATCAACCTCCACTGCTTCCCCGCCCTCTTGAAGCTCGACAACCGTCAGTTCAAGTTTGTCATCGACTCGTGCCTGTGGGCCAGCAAGCACGATAACCGCGATGTGGAAACTGCTGGTCTTAACATGTGCCTGGAGTTGATCAACAACATTGCGGAGAAGACAGATGTTGCCACATCGAATGCGTTCTTCCAGCAGTTCTTCATCCCCATTCTTCAGGATGTCTTCTTCGTTCTGACGGACCAGGACCACAAGGCCGGCTTCAAGACTCAGTCCATGCTCTTGATGCGCATGTTCTACTTTATCAGCCCTGCCGACGGCACCCAGCCCAAGATCCAGGGTCCTATTTATACCCCAGATCAGGCCCAGGGTTCCCCCAGCAACAAGGAGTTCCTCGGCTTGTTTGTGAGCAACCTCCTTCAGAACGCTTTCTCCAACCTGACTGCGTAAGTAACCTTAGTGGATTCTCATTGTCTTACGTGTATATGTACTAACAAGTTACAATAGCCCTCAAATCACCGCGTTTGTGGAAGGTCTCTTCACACTGAACACGCAATACGACAAGTTCAGACTTGCGCTGCGTGATTTCTTGATCTCGCTGCGTGAGTTCGCCGGCGACAATGCTGAGCTTTACTTGGTGGAGAAGGAGCAGATGGAGCGTGACGCCCGGCAAGCTGACCTGGAGCGTCGTTCCAAGGTCGGCGGTCTGCTCAAGCCGTCTGAGCTTGAAGATGAGGACCTCTGACTGGACCAAGAATTCCGTACCGAATTTGCGCCCTCACACGAAACCAATACCGCAACAGCAGAGCCGCGGTCGGGCGGGGAATATGACGGCTGGGTTGTCTACGGGGTTTAGCAGGATATGCAGATGGTAAGCTGAATAGCATGTCATTCCAGGTTCTTGTTTCTTGGGATTACGATCTCAAGATTTTATTTTATTTTCTTGCGCCAGCTATGTGACGCACTTGTAATGATACCATTAGAGAAGGGAACAAAGTTTGTTGGCTTTTTCTGTCAAAGGGACTTGTGGCTCCTCATATCAAAGATTGGGCTGACGAATCTGCCTATTGTTGGGTGGATTTTTTGCTTTTTGTGTTTTCTCATTGTGCGATCGTTCTCTCTTAGCGATGGGTTTGTGGAGGGGAAAGGAAAACATGAATGACATTGCTAGTGTTGTCAGTCAAATGTGATGATGACTGGCTGGCTCTTTGATGAGAGGGGAGAGAAATGGATATCAAGATGCTAGCTAAATATCAATAGGTACATTAGCAACACGGTTCTCGGCTGGGTAATAGCTTTTCTGAGACAGAAATGAGAAACGTTTTAAAGTGAGGAGATGGTGATGAGATGACAAGCGAAAGAAGTGATTGTGTTTCGTGATGAAGGACTCCTAAGAGCCTTGGCTGCTGATACCTTCCACATGCCAGGGCCGCCCCGTATTTTGAGACCAACGAAATGATACTTCTGATAGACCTCACACCAAAGGGCTGGCGCTCGGTAGGTCGTTCCTGCCTCTCTGGATATAGGATAGGTACTTACCCAAAGAAGCTCACATTCTCTCCTTGGCCCATTGTAACTTCCTCCTGTTCCTAATCTCGATTTTGGGCAGTTACGCCCCCTGACGCCAGTTTCATTATCAAGCTCAAGCCCTCAAGCTCTCTCAGGTTTGAGGGTCTTCTGCACCCCCATCTGCTGAGAAGCTTTTTTTTCCCCGGGCACTTTTTTTACAGGTCATCCGCGTACCTAGGTGTTCACTTTTCAGTATTTTGAGTATCTCTTACCGGTTTCTCCAACAAGATGGAGCGCGCCATCCCCCAGCACCCGAACGTCGACGAAGGGACAATTGACTCAACATCATTCAGTACCTATTCGTCAGCGACGTTAGCTCTGTATTATAGAGACGCTGAGGCGCTTGCTCGCTGTACCGGGTCCTCAAACGCCGCTGACGAATAGGTACTGAATGCTGTTGAGACAATTGTCTCTTCGTCGACGTTTGGGTGCAGGGGAGCGCTTGCTCGTTCATGGAAGAGCTCGCTCACCAGATTGGGGCACTCGCTCACCAAATCTCTACCGAATCCACCTCATGATGAACGGCTGGGATCATCTCCTCGAAAACCCTGGGAGGAGACAGGGTAGGGAGCGGGGAGCGGACCGGAGGAGCCGGAGAAGGAGCTGTAATAAGTGTGTCGACCTGTATTTTCCCCTAGTAGAACTCTCGTCTCTTCCAAAGAGCAACTTGTGTCCGTCTTATGCTCAAGGTATCCGAAGTGGGTAGACATATCTCACCTTCTGCTTATTCTTCCGCCTTCCAGCCTTTCGAGCCGGACCAGCTCGTGAAATGCGTTGGCGCTTGCTCACCAAATAGAGGCGCTTGCTTATCAAATGGGGATGCCTGCTCACTAGATGCATTGACGCTTGCTTACCAGATGGGGGCGCCTGCTTACCAGATGCATTGACACTTGCTCACCAGATAGAGCCGCTTCCTTACCCAACACAAGGCGCTCGCTTCCTAGACATCCGAATAAGTGATACTGTACCAAGCGCCTGCTTCAAGCATTTATCGCACACGTACTGGTCTGGTCGACAAATTGGGGTTCAAAGCCCAACTATCTCTCCGGGGCTAGCAGACGAATTTGAAGACGATATCGATACTGCAATGGCCAACATCGACCCGTCATCTTGAAACCAACAATCAACCATCAGAGAGCAGTGCTTGATTCGGGATGGATGTCACCAAATCCAAGTCACCGGCACATTTATTTTATTCTCGCCGAGTTATTCAACGTAGGAGATGTCTTCAGGCTCCTAGCTGGTTGAACTGGAACCTCATAATCGAGGAAGCTGTACGATGTGGCTTCATACTATGCATCTGGACGATGGGCCCCTCGATCCAGCGACCTCCATAGAGCTACTCGGTAGCCGGACTACCGTAGTATATCGTGGCCAACATTAACGGCCTAGTTGAAATGGGACCCTGCTAATGCCGAGACTAAGTGGTCTCAGCAAAACATTCTCCGTCGAACCGTTATCCCCTACGACTTTATACCTCCTCCCATCAGACAGTACCATACCCCTAGCGGCGAACCCAACTCGAGTATACGGTACTACCCTCTGAAGGATGGAAAGGATATTTAATCTTGAGCGGACATTATCTTGCCTTAAGCCCCACGTCAATGAGAGGATGTGGGTTGGAGCTGGCAAGATACCGGGTGTAGTATGATCTAATGGTTTTACTTAGGGGTGGGTGACGTTGGAGACTTGATTTCCTAGTTGTATATTGCGGAAAGGCATATTTTGGATAAAGAGAGAGACACTGTGACGAAAGTTGATAGCTCGAAGAATAGTTAACATACCTTTTGACTATCTTTTGGGGTATATAGACTATCTTTTGAGACCTGTAGACTATATTTCGATGCCGATAGACTATCTTTTAAGGCCTATATACTATGTTAAACGGGTTTTGATTACCTCCCAACGCCTCTTGACTATCTCTTAAGATCTACCGACTACCTATTAAGGCCTAGTAATATATATTTCAGGGCTATTGGCTTTCTTCTTAGGCCCTCATGCGAAATGGCAGTCTCCATTTATTTTCCTCGACAAAGCAACTTGTCAACTTGCATGGTGATCAGAGGCTAGAGTCTGAGATAGGATTCAAGGATTTGTACCCATGCACAAGTCACCACGCAGGTGTGTAGTGAGGAACTGGCAATGTCTAAAGTTGAGAATATAGGGGCAAGTTCCACTCAGGGGTAGTAAACAATAAGCCCCCTGAGGCACCAACTCAACAACACACCAGCCGCATACAACTCTTCTTCGCTTCGGATACCGGGAATTAGAGCGGACACCGAGCTTCTAGAACAGTTACAGACTCCCGAAGCCGAGACCGAACGTCCGTAACAGGTCGCCGCCCTGTGCTCAGCTAGCTGTCTTCATTTCGTCCTTCCACAGCCCTACAGCCAACAACAGCCCTGCATACAGAACAGCTTCTAGACCAGCTCTTCTGTAGTGGCCAACAGATCGGCCGAGGAGATGCTACGATCAAGGGCCCTTTCCTGAAAAGACACACCCCCTCTTCAGACTAAGCCTCGGTGACCCCGTACCAAAACACACTCTGTCTCACAGCTTTCTATCTGACAAGCCGTCACAGGCATGCCGTGTCGTATGTGTGTGTTCAAGTCACTGTAACCAGTACGCCAGTGTCACTTTGTCTCTGTGTCTCAGTCAGTTTTCTCGGTTTGTTTCGGTCTGGAGCGGTATACACCCCTCAAGGTATCACGGATTGAACTCGGGGAGAAGGGAAAAGAAGCAAAAAAGCGAAGAAAATGTATAGAGTGTGATCAACCTGCTTGGATTCTGGTGCGTGTCCCCGGTTTAACTTGGGAAGGCAAACAATAGACACAAGCGAGAAACAGAGACATGTCAGGTCACTCACTGGGTGAACAAGTGGAAATACGAACAAGGCAACCCCCAAAAACATACCTGATATCTCATCAAGCACAACTACCCGTTGTTTATGTCCGAGTTGAGTCCGTCCGTCAATCTATCCATCGTCATCATCACAACCCAATGCCACCATCTTTTCTTCCCGCAATGACATCAAGCAATTGGAGGGATGAGATAGCTAGCTAAACACCACCCGTTGATCTCCCCCCTCCAAGCACGGCAGCACACATAGTACACAGTAACACAACACCCCTCCTCCATTCACCCATTTCCTACCCTACCCTCCTGTCCCCTCCCTCCCTTCTCATGTGTCCCCTTCCGCTCGTGCCCGCGTGTCAAAAGCAAGCCCTTCCCTTTTCCGCTCTGCATCGCATGCTCTTTCCGTCGGCTATCCGCATCAAACATACCTACTCGCCCCAGCCAGTGGAACACACCCGACGCTGATACCGAACCACCCTTTTCTCTTTACACTACATTCTCAAAAAATGCTAGGTAACAAATGCAACCAGCCATATCCCGAAGGGAAGCATTGTCCGATCCAGCTGTAAACCGTGGATGGGATGGTGGTGTGTTCTCTCTCAGTTCCGCTTGCTCACAACAGCTGGCCGGTGCCGGTTGCCGTTTGAGCTTCTCCCTATCGAGCATCACAAGAACATATCGTAGCACAAACCCCCCCCCCCCCCAACCACCACCACGGCACCCTCCGCTTCGTGTGTTGTTGCTCTTTTGTGCACAAGAAACAACCCCCCAAAAAATAGCATGATATCCTCTCATCAAAAGGCAACCAGTCATTCACCTTGACAGCTTTCAGCTTTGACAAATTTTGCTCAGCAGGTTGTCAACCCTCTCCCAGCCAGCCACCTCAACCACCACATGGCATCCATACCATCCCTCCCCACGTGCCAAAGCAGAAATCTGAACCGAAATCATTACGCACACCAGAGAGAGCAGAGAATAGTTCGAGCTCCCTCCCTCTTCCCTCTTCCGTCGCTCAGACCTGGTGTCCGTTACATGTCATATTCCCTTTCTTTTCTTTTTTCTCAAGCCAAGCCAGAAAAATTCATCCGACTGGCGAGAACCGTTCGATGGTGTTGTTTTGAGACATACATATTCTTGGACCCGCGCATCTACACCAAGGGAGAGACACGGCTGCAAAGTTCCCAGCATAATAGACGAGAAATAAGACTTACACGTGGGCTCACGGCCCTGTCTCTTGATCAAGGACCTGACGATCATTCATTTTTCTTTTCGGAGAGGATTCTTTCAGCTGTCAGTTCTCAAGTTCTACAATAGCTAATG